GGGCCGGCGGCGCGGGGGTACGGGCCGTGGCCCCGGCCTCCCTCATGACCTTGGGGGAGCGGCCGGTCGGGCCGGGCAGGGGATGAGGGACGAGGCGGGCTGGCCGGCCGCGGCGCACAGTAGGTGCTCAGGGGCACCTCGGAAAGGCTTGCTCCAGCCCTCGTTGAAGTTTGTGGGTGGGCCTTGGAAAGACTTCCTTTGCCCATAGACAAAAAGTTGTAGGTGATGGCGAGGTGCCCGGGCCAGCCCACAAAGGACTAGCAACCCTCCTGGGCCCCGAAACTGCTTCGTGACCTGGGTGGGCTTTGGAGGTGCTGCCCACCCCATCCCGGAGGCTGGGGCCTGGTAGGCGGCTGGGACTTGCCCCCCAGGTTGGGGGATAGGGGGGCAATTGGTGAACTTGTCTGCGGGCAGGACTGGTTCCTGCGTATTGCCATGGTGGGCAGAGTGGGGGGCACGGGCCTGTGCTCGGTAGCCAGAGGGCCCCCCAGCCTTGCTCCAGGCTACCCCTGGCTGCTCTGAGCCCCTGGGCCAAGTGAAGGGCAGGGGGTGCATTGGCGGGGCTGGGTTCCCTGCCCTCCCCCAGCGGAACATACAGTTCACAAACCAGTGTTTGGAGACAGAGGGAGGGGGCCCTATAAGAGCACAGGCGATTTTTGGTAGGTTGTTCCGTAAATAATCACGGCGCTAACACACTCTTATGGTGTAGGCATTGGCGGTGCGGAAGCCATGGGAAGCGGGGACCCTCCGTCCCTCCGGCCCTGCGCCCAGCGGCGGCCCAGGCGCTGGCGTGGTGTGTTCATTTCTGTGCAGATGCACATCACCCTGTGCATGTGCACAGATATATTTTTACACACGGGGCTCGACAGCTGACTCTGTCAGCAGCAGGCCCTGCTTAGGCCAGGGTGGGGGTGGGGACATCCAGAGGTCTTTGGGTCCAGCCCTCTGCCTGCAGGCCACGCCCACTTGTGTCACCAGAGGGGGGCCGCGCCTGCCTCGCAGGGGCTCAGAGCCCTGTCCTTGGAGGTCTCTTCCTTCCCTCAGTCTTGCTTGCTGCCTGTCGCTGCCCCGTGGCCTGCTGAGCACGCTGGGCCCTTTCCTCCCCGGGCAGAGTGTATCTCCCCGGCCTGGCAGTAGACACAGACAGTGGGGTCTTCCTGCCCTTTTCAATTTAGCCTGAGACCATCAGTGCCGAGCAGCCTTCTCTGGGCCCCAGCCCCATGCCTCAGGAGGCCAGTAAGGTGCGTTGCCGGACAAGGTCCGCAGCTGTGGGAAGACCCAGGCTGGGATCCACTGCAGAGGCCCTCGGGTCCTCCTGGCCTGGGAGCCCGGGGGTGTGGGGTCGCTCCCGGCCTGCCCTCAGGAGTGCTTGTGGGCAGGGCTAGCAGAGGACGGTGCGTGGGAAGAGTTCTCTTTCCCAGGATGCCCAGAATGGGTGATGTGTGAACTGGGTTTTGAGGGATGCCTAGGAGTTCATCCAGCAGGGACCGATGGGGAGGGCCACTCAGGTTCAATGGCCAAAGTGTGTGTTCAGGAGAAGGCTGCTGGTGGGCCACTGGCGCCTCTGCATTCGTACAGCGCACCCCCCATTTCTTGCCTCCTGAATGCTGTGATTATGGGCCTGTAACCACCCTGGACTGGGTGCTTCTTACAGACAGGACCCATCTGAACCTCTCTTTGTCCCCAGGGCCGAGCCTGGCAAAACCAGAGATGCCTGCTCCATGTTGGCCCAATGAATGAACCAGATTCAGGCCAGCAGGGGTTCTGTGGTTTAGGAGGGGCTTGGGGTTTCTTGGAGGTTTTTATGTCACCCCGGAGGGCTCTGGGCTCTCATTTGAGCCAGCCGCCTGGTCTCCTGGCCCTACTTGCTTCATGTTTGAATTTCTCTTCTTTCCTAGTCTGGGGCAAGAACGAGGAACCCTGGGCCCTGCCCCGAGAGCCCCAGCCTATGGGGCGGGGGGAACAGCACGGGCAGGGAGAACAGGGGCACCCTCACCAGGGGCTTGGGCAGGCCAAGCAGTCAGAGGGGCTGCCCGGAGGAGGTGGCGTCTGCTGGGTTGGCAGGTTAGGGAGGCTGGAATATGCCAGGAGGGCCTTTTGGGGATGGGGGTGATCTCTACGAAGGCACAGGCGCAGGGGGCATCACGCTGAGGGCTGGAGGTCAGAGGGGTGGCAGGGAGATTGCAGCCCAGGTGGAGCGGAGGCCCGGCCGCAGGGAACAGGTCGAGTCACGTGCACTTTGCATCAGGTGTCGTGATGGAAGCTAGTGGGGGGCGGCAGTGGCTGTGAGCGGGGCAGGCTGCGTGGGAAGGGGGGCCCTGCATGGGCCCCTAGGTGCAGAGGGCTTCCCGGCCTCCCCGTGGGGTTGGAGGAGTGGCCCCAAGCTGGACACCACCTCACACCCTTCCCTTTGATTCTTGCAGAGGCTGGGTACGCCGGCTGGGCTCGAGGAGACCCTGCCGAGAGGGGCCTGTGAGTGGCGCCGGGGCTGTCCCGGCGTGCCGGAGCTGGACACCATGAACGACGTGGCCATCGTGAAGGAGGGTTGGCTGCACAAGAGAGGTCAGTGCCCTCGGGGTCGGGTCGGGGCCGGGGTCCCGGAGCTGGCTTGCAGGCTTTCCCTCGGGTGCTCTGGAGCCCGTGTGGGCTGGCTGGCCTGGTGGCTGCCGCCTCCCTCCCTGCTTTCCTGGAAGGCGGTGGGGACACTGGGGCCCGTCCAAGGCCTGGCTCGCTGGCGGCCCGGGGCACTGCCCGAGGGCTCCTGAGGGCAGGGTAGAGTTGCTTGGCCTGGCCCGGTGCCTGCCTCGGGCCTGGGCTTTGGGGTGGGGGGGCCCTGCACCACCCAGGGACCCAGCATGGGGTGTGTTTGTGCTGGAGCAGCGAGCTGCCTGAAGCCGGTGCCCGCCCAGCCTCCCCTGTCCGCACTCACAGGGCCCTGCGCCCAGGGAGGGGCTTGGTGGGACCCAGGGGGCTGGAGCCGTGGCCTTGGCCCCTTGCTCTGTAGCCTTGCCCACAGCCCCCTGCCTCACAGCCCTCTGTTGCTCAGGGATGGGTAGTGAGGGATGGACAGGCCTCACGTCCAGGTGCCCCTGGCGAGTGACTCCCTCCTGCCTCAGGGCGGGGATTAGCTACCCCCCCCAACTTCCTCTTCCTCCAGACCTGTTCCTTCCCAAAACTCTGGTGACCCCAGCTAGCTAGTTCACCACTCCTCATGCATGCCCTCCAGCAGATGCCGTGAGGATGCCCCATCCCCAGCCCAGGACCCCACAGGCTGTTGGGAGGGGGACCTCAGCTGCAGAGGGAGCAGACAGGGAGGTGTGGCAAAAGCGGGTGTCATGAGACTGGGTTTTGTAGGATGCATAGGAGCTCTCCAGCAGAGCAGGCTGGGAAGCTGCAGGAGCTGCAGTGGGAGGTGAGAGGTGACAGGGATGAGGGATCGGGGGCTGCAGAGGGCTCGAAGCAGAGGATCAAGGATGTGGTCAGCTGTGTGTTTCTAGAGCTTGCTTTGGCAGCTGCAGGGAGAACAGTGAACCGGGCCTTGAGACAGAGGTGAGGAGGCTCCAGGGCCCTGTGGTCCGTGGGGAGCCCTTCCACCTAGCTTCCCCTAAGCACCCCGCACCCGCCTGCCTTCTTGATCCCCTCCCCCACTGCCTACCTCCTCCTTGCTTCCCCCGAGTCCTGCTTCCTGCCTGAAGCCCCTTTGCCGGGTCCAGCCCTGTCTGCCTCACCTTACAGCCCCCTTTGATGTCCCCTCCCCGTGCCTGGCAGCACACATCCACAGCCCCTACTTGGGACCAGTACGCCTTCAATTCTTGGCAAACGTTTGTTGACTGTTAGATTAAGGCCTCAGGGCCGCCCAGGGCCCCCCGACCCCGTCATTGGGACACGCACTGGCCAGCCAGGCTGGGGCGGGGCTGCCTTTCTAATGCCTGCTTGAGTTCCAGGTTGCCACTCAGGGCCTGTGCCTTCTGAAGGGGCTGGGGGGTAGGGTATCGGGCCCAGTGGGGCATCTAGAGAGCTGAGTTTGAATCTGATTTAGCTGCTTTGTCACTGCAAATCTGTTGAGCTCTTTGGGCACTGGTTTCCCTTTGTGTATGATGGGAACGGTGGTGGGGAATGGCCTGGTGACATTCGGCATGTTGTTTATCGGGGGCCCTAAGTCAGGGTACAGCCAGCCTCGGCAGCCTCCAGGCCCTGCTGCCCGGCCCTAGCCTCAGGCCAGGAGAGAGGGTCCCCTACTCCCCTTGGGGAGGTGGGTGTCCATCTGTGGGGAGTGACCTTTGGGCTGTTTCCTGGGTGTCTTGATGCTTTGTGCCCTGGGCCAGAGCAGCTGCCGTGGGCAGAGGGGAGTCCAGCCTGGGTGGTTAGTTCCAGCCCTGCACTGACCTGTTCTGGTGTTCTGGGGGCCAGGCAGGCCCTCTGGGCCTCAGTGTCCCAGTGTGTCCAGTGGGGAGCCGGTCCCCAGGAGAGTAAGCTGGGCAGACGGGGGTCTCCAGAGATGGGTGGGCTTCCTGAGCAAGAGTTGGGTGTTTTGACACACATATCCCGAGTGATAAGTAGACGCCCCAAGCAAGGAGCAGCTGAGCCCAGCTCTAGCCACTCGTGCTGGGGGCTGGTGGGCTCAGCATTACTCAAAAATTTGCATTTTCAAGGATTTGGTCCCTTCCATGTCTTCTCTTGATTCTTAAAGGTTGACAATTTAAAAAAACCAAGCGTGCTCCAGGATGTAGGTCTGGCCGAGCTTGGCCTGTGGCGTCCGCTTTTGTCTTCGGACTACTCTGTGCTAAGGCCGTGGCCTGAGTCTGTGCAGCTGGTTTGGGGCGTCCCTGCCCACTGGCCCCACTCTTGGAGCCCATGACCGTGTGGGCACCGTCTGCCCAGCCAGGCTCGTGCGGGTTTTCCTGGCTGTCCCTGACCCACGGACAGGCCGGCTGGACCGGGTGGGTGGACCAGGAGAGGGGAGGAAGGCAGGGAGGAGCTGGGCGGAGGATGAAGGCAGGGGCTCCGGGCCTGGGTGGGGAGCCTCGGGCGGGCACCCCTGTGCTCGCGCGGGCCGGCTGGCGGCCGGGAGGGACCAGCAGAGGCGCGCGCTCAGCTGTCCTCCCCCGAGCACAGTGTGGCCCGCCGGGCCTCGGGCAGCAGGCCTGTGGGCGTGGGGCTGCCCTGCCCCTGGGGCCGGCGTGGAAGCGCGGCGCGGGCGAGGTCTGCGGGCAGGTGTGCGCGGGTACGGCGCGTGTGTGAGCGCGCGTGTGCGTGCGCATGCGTGTGAGTGCGTGCGCGCCCCCAGCGCCGGTCCTCCCCCGAGAGGTGCCGGCCGAGGTGCCGGCCGAGGTGCCGGCCGCGGCCCTGAGTTCGCCGAGCCCCGCAGGCCGGGGCCTTTTCCGGCGTGGGTCCGCCTCGGGTTCCAGGCTGAGCTGGTCCACGGCGTCGTGGCGGGGGCCGGGCTCCTGGGGCTGAGGTTTCTCCCGCCGCCGCTCCGTCAGCGGTGGCGAGCCCCGTTTCCTGCCTGTGTCCCTCGTGGGGCTCCGAGGTGGGGAGGCGGTTCCACCTTGGAGACACAGCCCCCTCCTCCATCCCCGGTCCTGCGGTTCCCCCCGCGGAGGCAGCCCGGTTCCCCCTGGGAGAGACGGCAGCGCTGCTGAGCAGACGCCGGGGGACAGGCGGCCCTGGGATTTGTCTGCACGGGGGGTGCCGCCGGGTGCCTCGCGGGGCGGGGGGCTCAGCAGGACCAGCGAAGGCGCACGTCCGCTCCCGGACCCTGTGCCCCAGGCTGGAGGCCAGGGCTGCTCTGGGCGTCCCGTGTGCCTCGGTCGCCCTGGCTGTCGGGGGAGGGGTGGCCCAGCGCCCAGCTCACGCTGAGGTGGCTGTGGCTTTGGTCCCCGCAGCCCCCGGTCCGAGAGGCAGCTGGCGCCCTGCCGCGTGTCTGTGAGGCCCCGGGCCTAGCCCCGGGGGCAGCTCGGTGCGGGGCGGCCGGGCCGGGGCTGGGAGGTGTGCCCCAGGGCCTGCTGGCCCTGGCGTGTGGCCGTGGCCGTGGCCGCCACCGCTGGGGGCTGTTTCCTGTTTTGTGAGCCTGTTGGGCTCTCTCTGCAGAACAAACAACAGAAGAGGAAGCTGGGGTGACTCGCTCGGGGGGTGAGGGGTCACCGCCCGCCAACCCTGGGTCCCTCGGCCGGTGCTGGTGGCCCCAGCCGGTGGCTGTGGTGTGCTCTCTGGGCAGGGCTGCCCTGCGGAGGGCCGGACTCCATGCAGGGGGGTGGGGGTGGGGGGCCCCGGGCAGCACAGTGCACTCGTGCGGGAGGGACACTGAGGCCCGGAGCGCCATGCCCAGACCCCCGCCTACCAGCAGCTGTCAGGAGAGGCCAGCCTGGGTTGCACCAGGCCCGGTTCCTAGAAGTGCCGTGGGACGGCGCGGGGTGGGGGCTGGCTCGGCCGCCTCCGGCGTCCCTCCTGCCCAGGCACACCCAGCCGGGCTCGGGGCCAGCGCCCTCCCTGCGGGCCCTCCCATAACTGGAGCCTGTGGCTGAGGCTCTGCTCCTGCTCGCCAGGGCCACCCCCTGCCGTGGGCTGAGGCCCGCCGTTCTGTCCACTCGGCACGCCCAGTCCCTGTCCGGCATCCCCACGGGCAGGCCCCCCGGCCTGCATCTGGCTCTGCACAGGCTGACAGAGGTCCCCGCAGGGCGAACCGCAGGCCAGCTCCTGGGAGCTGCGCATCCCCTGCCGGGCCCAGCCCTCACTTTCCTCCTCCCTGCGTTCAGGTGTGTGTCTGTACCCTTAAGAAATAGTAGACCCGTATTTTGGGGATGTGAGACTCGATGGCCTGGTTGGGGAGGGGTTCCTCCAAGCTGCTTCTGTGAACTGTGGGTGCTCTGAGCTAGGCTCTCTGGGCTCTGGATTTGGGTTCGCAGACCCCCAGTGGGCCCCAAGACTGCAGCCCCCTCTCCCCAGGCCTGTGACCTGAGGGGCCAGCAGATGGAGGCGCAGCTGGTGGACTGACGGGCCTGGGGGCTGCCTGCTCAACCTCCCGGCCCCCTGGGATTCTCGTTCAGGCAGGGGTGTGGTTGTGGTTGCCCCTGAGCCCCCCACTACACCCAGGTCTTTGAAACCCAGCCTCCCCGAACCCCACTGTGGTGAGGCCAGGTGCGTGTCAGTTGGGTGGGCAGGAGACAGGTGACCCAGTGGCTGGCTTGTTGGAATAGGCGGGGGGTGGGGGGGGTGGGCACACAGGCCCAGGCTGGTGCAGGGAGAGTAGGCAGGGCACGGCAGAGGGCACCAGGGCAGTGGGGCTGTGGCCTTGTCCGCGGGGGCTCTGGAGGGCGCAGGAGACTAGCACTGAGACAGTGGGTGTGGGCACAGGCCGTGGGGACCAAGCACGTGGGCATATCCCAGGGGGACGGGGATGTGTGGCAGCCGGGCTGGGACTCTGGGCAGCCCCGCGTCTGGCCTGCATGCAGACAATGCACGGTGCCCGAGCAGGAGGTGGGGACGTGCAGGGAGGACGGCGGCCGGGTGGGACGTCTAGGCGGAGGAGATTGGCAGCGGCTGGTCGGTGGCAGTGGGTTTGGACGTGGTGGTTGGTGGGAGGCGCTGTCCCGAGGCAGGAGGGAGGCGGGGAGCGGCCCCAGTGTGTTCTTGAGTCTACCTGTGTGCGTTGGGCCGTGACTCTGGGGGCCTGCCTGCTGGACGGCAGAACCAAAGACCCGTGAAGAGCTGAGCTGGTGTTAAGGAGCGAGCCCGGCCTGGGCAGCAGGATCGGCAGCTCTGCTCACCATCTGTGACCTTGAGAGTCCCCTACTTGTGCCTCAGTTTCCCCAGGCAGCTGGTGGGCATAATGAGCCCTGTCCTCCCTGCCTGTCAGGGGGCCTTCTGGGAAGGCAGGGCAGGGTGGTGGGCCGGGGGAGGCCGCAGCCAGGCTCGAGGGCCATGCCAGGGGAGCGTGTGTCCTCCTCCACGTGGTGCCCCTCTGCTGGGCACGGAGTGGATGCCTCTCTCGGCCACACTGGCCGTCCGAGCCCTGCCTCCGGGAGGACCCCGTGAATGCTGCCCTCGGAGAGGCTCCGTCTCGAGCAGGTTGGTGTGCTTCACCCCAACAGCCCCGGGGCCCCGTCTGAGTGGGGGTGTGACCCCCGCCCCCCCCCAGGCACTGGTTCCTGGGGCTCCTGGGCTTTGGACGTCAGGCTGTGTGGCCCAGCATCCTGCCTGTGGGACGGGGAGCCGGGACCCTGGCTTGTGCACAGGCAGAGGCCTGGCAGGTGGGGCCCCCCAAGATGACCCGTGCCCATGCCCTCCCGCTGCCTGCCCCCGTCCTGGGGGGCGGCGATGGATGGGCTGCCATCAGCAGGCCCGTTTGCTCGCTGTGCTGGAGAAGGTAAATGGGCGCCCGGCAGCTGTCGGCCCGCGATGGATGTGTCGGCGGCGGGGGACCGCACGGTCGCCGCTGTCAGCTGGTGCCCGCTCCCCGGGCCTGCTGGGGCTCGCTTTGCTGTGGAGAAACAGCTCAGCGCCGCCTGGCACCCTGCCAGCCGCCACCACCGCTGCGGCAGAGCGTTTATCCGGCAGCTTCCCCGGGAGCCGGGGGCTGGGAGTGTTCGCGGAGCTCAGGGCGTGGCGGCCGCGCGGGCCGGGGCCCCGGGTGGTGTGGACGGCTCTGCAGCGTCCGGCCCAGGGACTGTGGTGGGGCCCCCGGCTTGCCCACAGCATGGGTCCCAGCCCCCAGGTCTGCTGCCTGGGGTGCCCTGACCATAGTGTGGCCCGGGACACGTGCCCGGGAGCCACAGTGGGGACAGGCCCTCAGCTTCTGCCCGTCTTGTCCCTAGGCCCTCTCCCTGTGGCCCTGGCAGTGTGATTTGGGCTGTGGGAGGCCAGGTTGTTTACAAGGAACCCCTCCTTTCTCTGGGGACCTCCAGCCTCTTCCTGGGCATGGGCTGCCTCCCAAGATGAGCAGGGATATTGGAAGGGTCCTCCTGGTGGAGGATACGTGGGGACACCGAGGGGGCCAGTGCTGGAAGCTGAGGGGCCCTTGGAGGGCGGGAGGAGGTAGGGGAGCCCTAGTCTGGGCAGAATAGGAGCTTGGCTAAGCCTGCCTGCCCCCGCCCCAGCTGGAGCCCTTACCGTGGGTGCCCTGGCGTGGGAGTGAAGGGCTCAGGAGGGCATGAGTCCCCTTCTCTGGTGGCCGGGCAGGACGTGGTCTCCGAGGAGTGGGTGTGGTGCTGCAGGGCCGAGGGACACTATGGGTCCCTCCCTGACCCCGGCCCGGGGCTGGGTTTCTGAGAGAACCCTGAGCGGGGATGGAGATGCTGCCCCTCCTGCCTGCCTGCCCACCCAGGGACAGACCCTCTGGGTAGGGGTGCCTGCCCCCGGTTTTGCCGTGGCTCCTGTCTCTCGGCAGTAGGTACGGGATCCTGGCTGGGCTGCTGAGCTGTGTGCTGAGCTGGTCCTGGGCCTGTGCTGAGACCCTGTGTGGGCCTTGGTCTGAAATGTTTGCATGGGGTGGGATGGGGTGGGATGGGGTGGGTGGAGAGCCGCTCTGGGGATCCTGGGCTTTGGCTGTGAGTGGCAGGGACCAAAGACAGGCCCGGGGCCTGGGTCCAGGCCACTTCCTGCTGCCCCCTGAGTGGCTGCCAGGAGATCACCCTGGCTGTGGGCAGGCATTGGCCCCCGAGGGAGTGGTGGGGACCCCCACTTAGGGAGTCGTGTCCTGAAGGGCAGACTTGGGCTCCCGTTTGTCACCTGCCCGGAGTGAAGGCTCGGGAGTTCCCACCAGCAGCACTGGCTGATGTGTGTCTGTCCCTGCCCAGCGCCCATGGCTGCCCTCCTGTGGCTGTGGACAGCTGTGGTCAGGCACAGGGGTGGCTGCGTCCCCCACGCGGTCCGTCTGTGTCACCCCAAGGCCTGGGAGTGAGCAGGGCTCTGGGGCCCCCATCTGTCTGGCCTGGACTCGTTCAGAGGCAGGCCACGGCCCAGGATGCATCTGGCACCACCTCGGCCCCCAGGTGACCGCCAGGCTGCACCCCGCCAGGCAGAAGGGGTCTGTGTGTCTCAGTCTTGGCCCCAGCCTCCCCTAGGGTCCCCACTCCTCCTCAGGGGGTCTGTGTGCCCGGCTGCCCAGGTGGGGGGCTGAGTGAGACCTCCCTGCCCTCCATCCCACCTGGGTGTTGTGTGGCTCTTGGGCTCAGCCATGTGGGGCACAGGCAGGGGGCAGCTGGGGACCGGCCGTGGACCCCCCTTCAGTGTCCTGGGGCTGGGGGCTGGTGGAGGGCCCAGCAGAGTCACCCCTCTCGTCCGGGGCTCAGCCAGGGTGGGTGCCTGCCCCTCCTCCACCTCTTCCCTGCCAGTGTTGCTCCCTTGCCCCCCCCACCCCGGCTCCCCAGTTCTGGATTCCAGAACCTTCCTGGCCCTGGAGTGGGGTAGGGGGTGAAGGCTACTAGGCCGCAGGTGCAGGGCCAAGTGGCCGGGGGGAGTCCCGGGTACTTTTAGCAGCACTGGCACCCCCGTTCCAGGGATCCTGGACCCAGTGGGGAAACTGAGGCCCGCTCAGGCGTGTGGGTGCTGCTGAGCAGGCACATACGTGCCGACTGCATGCACAGGGCACAGTGCTGGGGGGCCGAGCTGGGCGCGGCGGGAGCTGGCGGCAGTTGGTGAATCAAGATGGATTTTCGGGGCTGCGCAGGCGAGGCGCTCATCAGTCTCCCCGCTCAGTTAGCATCCCGGGGAGCGGCAGCTGGTGGGATGGGAGGCACTCCATCAGGGGCCGACAGCTCCAGACTGGCACGCAGGCGGGTGGGAGCGAGCGGCCCAGGACCGCACGGGTGGTGGGCTACACACGGCCCCCAGAGCCTACTCCGCTCGTGCCCACCCGCTGCACCGGCGGGGAGGGGTGTCCGTGGGGGAGTCCCAGGCCACCAGGGGCAGGAGCAGCGTCTGCACAAGGCCTGACCACAGCCTTCCCAGCCCACCGTCTTCATGGGCTGGGGGGCTCAGCGGAACCGGGAGGAGATCCTGCTAAATGCTGTTGGGGTACAGGGCAGGTCACTGGCCATCGCTCGGGTCTTTCCTGGGCCAGCGGTGTTGGGCCTAGAGGTGACCCCCACTGCCTGCAGCCAGGCAAGCCCCCCACGGGCCGGGTGGAGCGGCGGGAGGGCTGGCTGGGTCTCAGAGGCCACACCCAGAGGCCTTTGGTGGGGAGGGGCTGGGCGGTGAGGGGCCGGGAGCACCTCGGAGGTGTCTGGTCCCGGATGGGGCCTTTGCTCTGCTCCCTCCCCTGGGGCTCAGCTGGGAGGGAAAGCCCCGGCCCAGGGCTGAGCCCCCTCCCCACCTGCTGCCCAGGGGCCCCTGCGATAAAGCAGTTGTCTAATTAGTAAGTTCTCTGTTGTTGTTCAAACTCCTTGCTCGGCAAAATGTAAATGAAACATCTTTTTTCTCGGTGTCAGTATGAAAAATGACAGTCGCTCGGATATCGCAGAGGACATCTGCTCTGGTTCTTAAGTGTGAATGCCTGTTTATGGCTGATGTGGCGAAACTTTGGGGAAAACTTCCCCCTGTACCTGGGTAACCCATTGTGGGCCGTGGGGGTCAAGGGTGGGAGGTGGCAGCCTGAGGACCACACACACACCTCCTGGGTCTGGCTTGCCCGTGGGGCCCTGGACAGGGAGTGTTGTCACATGGGCGGTGAGGGACTGTCCCAGTGCCCAGCCCAGGGAGTTGGGCCCTGAGTCTCGCTCACTGTCCCCGCAGTGCTGGACGCCAGGCTCCGGCCTGCAGGCCAGGGGTCAGCTGTGGTGGGCAGTCCACTGGCCACGGCCACTGTAGCAGCTGGCTGGCCCCCACTGGGTGGGGCGAGCTCAGCCCTGACACCCGGGCCCATGGCCTTCCCAGCCAGCCCCTGCCTGCCGTGCTGGGAGTGAGGGGCAGGGGGCAGGGGCTGGGGTTAGGGTGTCCTGTCTGCTCGGGTGCAGTGAGCTTCCGGCCTGCCACAGGGACGGGGTTTCTGGGGGGAGGTGGGAGCAGGGCCCGGTGGCCGCGGCCCCTCACTGCCCACGTGTCCTCAGGGGAGTACATCAAAACCTGGCGGCCCCGATACTTCCTCCTCAAGAATGACGGCACCTTCATCGGCTACAAGGAGCGGCCCCAGGACGTCGAGCAGCGAGAGTCCCCTCTCAACAACTTCTCTGTGGCTCGTAAGTACCTGCGGCCACGTGGGGCTGCAGGGGGGACTGCCCTGGCTGGGCAGGTGGGCAGGGTGCCAGAAGTCTTCTGTGCCCAGCAGCCCCCACACTGATGCCCCCCCCCCCGGCCTCTGTGTCTGGAGCCAGCAGCGGCCAGGGACCAGGGGGTGCTGGGCTGCCTCTGAGTCACCGTGGGAACTGGTGAGTGGCCGGTTCTGGCTGGCGGGAGCTCTTCATGCTGAGTCCCGAGGCTGGCGACCCTGGGGCGAGGGAGCCCCAGGCACGGAGCTGGGCTGCCAGGGGGTGGGGGGGAGCGGCTGAGTCAGGCAGGCCGTCCAGCCTGGTCTCTTGTTTTTGGTTTAGCCGCCCTGAAACCTGGCTCTGCCCTGGCACACAGGCCCAGTGGCGGCGGGAAGATGAGGGAGGGGCTCAGCAACGGAGAGGCCTCCTGGGTCCCTCGTGGGACGCCCTCGGGTACAGAGTGCAGTGCCCACTGGGGGTCCGGGATCCACCCTAGGCTCCTTCATGCATCTCCACTATCCGCCGAGCTCTGCCCTCCCTGCCTTCCAGCCCCGCACATGGCCTGGGGCAGGCTCTGGTCCAGGGTCTCAGGAGGAGGTAGCACGGGCTGACGGGGTGGGGGGGCGGCACATGGCTTCCATGCTTGCAGGAATATAGAGGAGGGGCGCTCCTGGACCTTGGCTGTCCCGCCCACCCTCCCAGTGTACCTGGTGCTGTGCTGCAGGGGCAAGGGGCATGGCCAGTGTACCCACCCCAGGGCCTTCTGTCAGGGAGGCTCCAGCCTGGGGGTCTCCCAGGGAGGCTTTACTGTGACCTGGGTCCAGTGAGTCCTGAGTCCCCCCTCCCCCAGCCTCAAGCTTCCACAAGGCAGCTGTTCGAGGAGGGGCCCCAGGCGGAAGGGAGACCAAGGAGGCAGGCACCACCATCCCCTGCGGCCTGGTGACCATGTGGGCCCCCCTCACTGCCTCCCTGGCTGGGGCTGGGTGGGGGCTTCAGGGTTCAGGAAGGAGGCTTGGCTGGGGTGGGTGCCACCTTGCTGGCAGGGGCGTGGGGGCCCTCAGGAATGTTCTGTGTCGGCAGAGTGCAGGGGGGATGACAGGGACTCTGCGGAGGCAGACACCATCCAGAGGGCTGCCTGAGCAGTGGGGGAGGGGCTTTTCCTTGGGGATGGATTCCAGGGGTGGGGGGACAAGAAACCAGGCTCTGAGATGGGCGCCAGGTGCCTAGGTCCTGGGAAAACCTGGTCTCTGATGAGCGAGTGGGAGTTGGGGGTGCGGGATGGAGAAGACCGGCCACAGGTTTTGTCCCCCACCCCCATGTTGACACAGGCCACCTCCCCGTAAGGCCGGCCCCAAGCCCCCTCCTGGCACCCAGCCCTGGTGGACCACTTCCTTACACTCTGCTGAGCCCGGCCAGGGCCCCTTGAAGTTGCCAGGGCCCAGACACTGGAATGTCAGAAGCCCCTGTACTGGCCCTGGGCCCCCTCTCTGCTCACACAGGCTGGGCCAGCATCGGCCTAGAATTTCCCAGCAGCACCCCCTGACTGCCGCACCCCTCTCAGGGCCTGGTGCATCCCCACGGTCCCTGGGCTCCTGGTGTGTGCACACATTCAGGTGCGTGAGAGCGTGCTCCCGGTGTGTGCGTGCACGTTCCTGCTACGCATCTGGAATCCCCAGCCTCGGGGGGGTGATGGGGTACCATCAGTGTGGGGCGGGTACAGCCCGAGCAGCCTCCAGGTGGGTCATGTCCTCCAGCCTCCTGCCAGGACAGGCGGCCTCTCTGAAGGCTGCGTCACCAGCAGCCTCTGCTCTGGGACTGGCCCTGCTTGGAGGGGGCGGGGGCCCGGCAGTCACAGCCGTGAACATGGCGGGAGGTTCCTGCTCAGGGGCCAGCTGCTTTCCCTCCTGCGGGCCCCTGGCCAGGGCATCCATACTCCTCACCGTCTGGCCGGTCGAGCCGTGGCCTGGCCTTCAGCGTGGGCTCAGAGACCGAAGGACTGAGGGAGGTGATGGCAGGGGGCTGAGGTGAGCCAGCGCCAGCCGGCCCCACAGGGGCGCCCCACTGCTCCAGAGCACGGCGCCCGGTGTCTGGGCTGGAATGGGCGTCCCGGCCCCATTTTACGAGGGGAGCCAAGGCTTGGAGTGGGGATGGGAGCGGGCCTCCCGTGACCCCTGGTGAGGTCCTGGGGGTGGGGCTGTGTGTGCAGACACCCACCTAGCCCTGCCCCCAGAATGTCAGCTGATGAAGACGGAGCGGCCCAGGCCCAACACCTTCATCATCCGCTGCCTGCAGTGGACCACGGTGATCGAGCGCACCTTCCACGTGGAGACACCCGAGGAGCGGTACAAGATAGACCCACGGGGACGCGCGGGGTGCCGGGGCCCTGCTCTCCGGTGGGGAGGGCACACCAGCCTGTGGGAAGCTAGGCCTGGGTGTCCCCGGGGTCCTGGCCCGGGTCACGGGACCTGACCTGCGGGCCCTGCAGGGAGGAGTGGACGACTGCCATCCAGACGGTGGCCGACGGGCTCAAGAGGCAGGAGGAAGAGATGATGGACTTCCGGTCGGGCTCGCCCAGCGACAACTCGGGGGCTGAGGAGATGGAGGTGTCCCTGGCCAAGCCCAAGCACCGTGTGGTGAGGCCCTCCCCCACCTCAGAGGGACCTGGCGGTCCCAGCGTGGCCCCCGGGAGCCCTGTGTGGGAAGTAAGGCAGGGAGGCGGGATTCCAGGGGGGCCTGGGCCCCCCCCGACCGCAGGTGCCTGCCCGCCGCCCTGCAGACCATGAACGAGTTTGAGTACCTGAAGCTGCTGGGGAAGGGCACGTTCGGGAAGGTGATCCTGGTGAAGGAGAAGGCCACGGGCCGCTACTATGCCATGAAGATCCTGAAGAAGGAGGTCATTGTGGCCAAGGTAGGGCGCGGGGCCGGGGCCGGGGCGGGGCGGGCCGGGAGGTGGCGGGGGGCGGCTCACCTGACCCTGTCTTCCAGGACGAGGTCGCCCACACACTGACAGAGAACCGCGTTCTCCAAAACTCGAGGCATCCGTTCCTGACGGTGAGTGCTGGAGGCCGTGTGCCCGTCTCCCCGCAGACAGGGCTGGTGTGCTTCAGAGTTCAGGCCGAGGGTGGGCGCACTTCCGAGTGCCAGGGGTGGAGGCCCCGATGCCGGAAAGGGGTGGGGGCTTGTTTGCTGCCCCCAAGCCCCCATGCCTACCCTTCTGCACTCCACCTTCCAGTTGCTTCCCCTCTGAGGCTCGAGTGTGGAGGGTCCCTGTGCTGCGGGGCACTCAGCCCAGGAGGGGTGTACGGAAAACCACTAATTAGCCTTAGTGAGCATCCCAGGCGCAGCCGGCTCCTGGGAGCTGTGGACGAGCTGGTTGGTCCGTGTGGAGTGGACAGGCCGCCGCCCCCCACCCGGGTTTTCCCTGGGAGCCCCCAGGCCCTGTCACCTGCTCAGCATGGTGTCCTCATCCCGGGGGACCTCCTGGCCCAAAGCGGGGGCAGAGCAGAGAAGGTCTGTACTTCTCTAAAGCATTCCTTAAAACAGTTTCTTAGAAGAAGTGACCAACATTTTTAAAAGGTTTCATTTTTTTTTTGCCCAGACTTGTTCGTTATGGTGGTTTTACCTCCTTTGCATCAGCTTGCCCCTCGTCCTCATGTCCAGGCTTAGTGTCCTTCCCTCCCCCTTGGCGCAGCCCCATGAGCCCAGCAGCGCTGTCATGTTCGACAGAGATGCTGGGGTCCACACACGCCGGCCCCTGACCCTCTGCCCTGGTGATGGCATCTCCCTCCTGCGGGTTCTCCATGGGGATGGGGTCATGTGGCGCAGCTGGTCCCCGCTGCCTGAGGTCTGGAGCTGGCCTTTCGTCCCGTTTTCCGTGAATGGGGCTCATCCCGGCCGCTGGGTTAGATCCGGGGTCGGTCACTTGTGGGGACGACTTGATTATGTGGGCCTTTCCTCTGAGAGCCAGGCCCCCTGTGGTGTGAGGTAGGAAAGTGGCCGGTAAGCTCTGCCCTGGGCACGTCCTCCCCTTGCCGAGGGTCCCCCTAGCTGCTGCCCTGCCTCCCGTGCAGGGGGCCCGAGATCTGATACAGAGGCCACACTGCACCTTCCTCAAGAATGGCGTGTGGGCATTGGGGCTCCGGGCGGGTCCAGGGCCCACGGTAGCCGCTCTGCTTACCCCGTAGGCCCTGAAGTACTCCTTCCAGACCCACGACCGCCTCTGCTTCGTCATGGAGTACGCCAACGGGGGAGAGGTAGGGTGGCCGCATGGCCCGCATGGGGCTGACGCTTGGGTGTCCCCCCACACCCCAGCACAGGGAGCCTTGGGCGTCCCCCCCCAGCACAGGGAGCCTTCGGGCGCCCCCACCCAGCACAGGGAGCCCTCGGGCGTCCCCCCCCTGCACAGGGAGCCCTCGGGCGTCCCCCCCCTGCACAGGGAGCCCTCGGGCGTCCCCCCCCTGCACAGGGAGCCCTCGGGCGTCCCCCCCCTGCACA